GCTCCAAGTGTTGGGATTTCTACCATTCGGGATGCACGCGCCGGCGGGAAGACGTGCGGGAGAAGAAACGCCTATAACCCCACCTGGAGTCAAGATCCCAGTTCTCACCCAGGGGGAGGCCAGTCACGTGAAGGACACGGGTGGAGAAGCGGATGGTCACGCATCGACCGAAACATCTTTGAGATTGGGGACGCAGCCTGAACGACTTGATCAGGAGACAAGGCCACCACCCCAAATCGAAGAACAAACACTGACCATGACGAGAAGCGAGATGCAGAGGATGATTACCGAAGCTGTAGCAGCCCAAATCAAACAGACTCGAATCGAGCAGCCTAGGATCGAACAAGCTAGGGTCGAGCAGCCCCAAAATGAACAACAACCCCCAGAACGCGAACAGCAGGCGCAGTCGCATAAAAGGCAGAACAGAAGGGCAGATGAAGAGGAATCCTCTGTCAGGACTGTCAATCCAGAGGCGAGAAACGACACCCTGGAGCAATTGTTGGCGCAGGTGCGAGATTTGCAGGCTCGAGTAGAGGGGAGAAAAATAGGAAGCTCGAGGGGACACCCTTTTTCACAGCATATTCTAGATGCCGACCTGCCTCAGAGGTTTAGAGAACTTAACATCTGGTACGATGGGTCAACTGACCCCTCTCGACATCTGAGGAGTTTTGAAAACATGGCAGTACTGCACCTCTACAATGATCCCGTTTAATGTCGAGCATTCCTGACAACTCTGCGAGGGCCTGCGCAAGACTGGTTTCATCAGTTACCCCCAGGAGCCGTCAGGGACTTTAACGGATTTAGTTCGAGTTTCCTAAATCAATTCGCAAGTGTAAAAGCCCAAGAAAAGTCTTACCTTACCCTTATAGGCATGTACCATAAAGAAAGAGAATCATTGAGGGATTACGTAGCAAGATACACGCGAGCATGCGTCGACGTCCCCTCAGCCACTGAGGAAATCAAGTCGGGAGGACTCACTCGAGGATTACTCCCAGGATTGTGCAGGAACTCCTTAGCAAAACGACTCGGGAGGACGTTCGATGAAGTATTAGAAAGGTGCGCCAAGTACATGAATGTAGAAGAAGCTGAAGCCGACTTTTTGCAGGCAGCTAAAGCAAAAATTGAGTCTCGGGACGAGAAGAAGGATAAGAAACCAACTGCAACGGGAGAAAGGAAAGGATCCCCGAAGTCGAAAAGGGAGGGGCGATCAAGGGGATGGAGGACAACTCAATATACCCCCTGATAGCCTCGAGCGCAAGGATATTGGAGGTAATGGAGAAAGAAATTCGCGAAAATGTAGTCAGGTGGCCACGGACGAGAAAAGATGGACCGACAAAACCCAAAAGTGATCTGTATTGTCGATTCCACAAGGATTATGGGCATAATACCGAGGAATGTCGGCACCTAAAAAATGAGATCGAGAGGCTAATCAAAGCAGGCCATCTAAAGGAGTTCGTTTATAAAGATCGAGATCGAACCAGTCGGCGAAGGGAGAGAAGCAAGAGTCCTCGCAAGAGGGCGAGGACACCCGGCAAGGAGGAGCTCCCTCAGAAAAGAGGAATAATTCATATGATATTCGGAGGGCCGACTGATGGAGACTCAAATCGGGCCAGAAAGGCATATGCTCGAGGCCGCCACGGAAAAATTGAAGTGCAACAAGTTGAGGAAAATGGTCCAGTGATGAATTTCGGGCCAGCAGATGTGGGGGAGGTCGAGAGACCCCACAATGACGCTCTAATGATCACTGCCCAAATATCAGGTTATGAAGTGCAGAGGATTTTTGTCGACACGGGAAGCGTAGTGAATGTGATCTTTTACAATTGCCTTAAACGGATGGAACTCGACATCGAGCTTGCACCTCTGCACACCTCACTTTTTGGGTTTAAAGGCTCAGAAGTCGCACCCCTAGGAGAAACCACACTTGCTGTCGTCCTCGGGGAAGGTGATTTGAGGAAAGTAAAAATGGTGCGGTTTGTTGTAGTCGACGTCGAGTCGGCTTATAATGTGATTCTAGGAAGGCCAGCGCTCAACGCATTCCAGGCGGTAGTGTCGACCTACCACATGAAGCTGAAGTTCCCGGTCGGAAATAAAGTAGGGGAGGCCCGAGGAGACCAGAAGCTATCAAGAACTTGTTACCAGATAGCTGTGAAAACAAACCAACGAACAGAAGTTGAGGGAAAGAAGCCGGCAATGAGAGAAAAAAGGCCAAGAAATAGTGATCTCGAACCGCACGGGGAGCTAATGGAGATACAAATCGGAGAAACGAAGGAACAGACCACCAAGGTCGGGAAAGATCTGAAAGATGAGCTGCGAAACCAACTCATCACACTATTAAAGGAGTTCAGGGATGTCTTCGCCTTCACCCCTGAGGAGTTGACGGGGATCGACCCCGCTATTATGGAGCATAAGCTCAATGTCGACCCCCTCAGAAAGCCAGTAAAGCAACGACTCAGACGCCATGGTGAGGAAATCGACAAAGCAATTGAAATCGAAGTAGATAAGTTGTTGCGAGCAGGACATGTCAAGGAGATCCAATTTCCTGAGTGGATATCCAACACCGTGATGGTAATAAAGGCATTAAACAAATGGCGCATGTGCATCGAATTCGGTGACTTGAACTTGGCCTGCCCAAAAGATCATTATCCCTTACCACGAATCGATCAGCTCGTCGACTCTACGGCTGGTTGCGAATTACTAAGCATGATGGATGCATCTCAGGGATACCATCAGATTCCATTGTGCCCGGAAGATCAGAGTAAGGTGAGTTTCGTGACGAGTAAAGGGACGTACTGTTATGTCGTCATGCCCTTTGGGCTTAAGAATGCTGGAGCAACCTACCAACGGTTGATGGATCGAATGTTTAAATCTCAGATTGGGCGAAATATCGAGGTATATGTGGACGATATCTTGGTAAAGAGTAAAGCTTCAACCTCACACCCAGACGATTTGAGGGAAACGTTCACAACCCTTAGGGCGTTCGAGATGAAGCTGAACCCAAACAAGTGTGCCTTTGGAGTAAAAGCCGGACGATTTTTGGGGTATACTGTCACAGAGCGAGGAATCGAAGTAAATCGGGAGAAAGTGAAAGCCATACTCGACATGGCTCCACCAAGAAATATAAGAGATGTACAAGTTCTGACGGGACGAATTGCGGGGCTGAGCAGGTTCATCGCTCGAGCCGCAGAAAAAAGCTTCCCATTCTTCAGATTACTCAAAAAGAGGTCGACCTTCTCATGGAGTGACGAAGCACAAATGGCCTTCGAAAAATTGAAGGAATTCTTGGGCGAGCTGCCTCTGCTGACAAAGCCAGAGCCCGGCGACGAGCTGGTGCTTTATATATCTGTGGGTTCGGTATCACTAAGTTCAGTATTATTGCGAGAAGAAGGAGGTGTTCAACAACCAATTTACTACACTAGTCGAGTTCTTCAGGGCGCGGAGACAAGATACTCTGAGATCGAGAAAGCCGCTTTAACGCTGGTGATAACGGCTAGAAAACTAAGGCCATATTTTTTGAATCATGTGGTAGTAGTCAGGACGAACTTCCAGCTGAGTGAAACATTGGGCCGACCTACGGTATCAGGCCGACTCGTTAAATGGGCAGTCAAGCTGAGCGAATATTCCCTTAAGTATGAGCCGAGACGAGCCATAAAAGCTCAAGCCCTGGCAGATTTCATCCAAGAAGGTACCAAGGGGGAAGAAAAGAAATGGATCATGCACGTCGATGGGTCCTCAGCGGCCAAAGGGTCCGGACTGGGAATCGTCCTCGTATCACCCGAAGGCGAGCAACTGGACTTTGCTATTAGAATGGGATTTAAGGCCTCAAATAACGAAGCAGAATACGAGGCGTTAATCAAAGGAATTCAACTCGCAATTGGTGGAGGAGCATCAGAAATTGTGGCACATTCCGACTCAGAACTAGTTGTTGGACAAGTGTTGGGAAGTTTCAAGATCAAAGAAGAACGAATGATGAAATATGTCGAAGAAATCCAAAGTCTTGTGCAGGGCCTGGAGAAATTTGAACTAACACAAATCCCTCGAGAGGAAAATAAGCGCGCAGATTGGCTCGCGAGAATCGCGAGCTCGAATGATGGGAAGATGGGAAACTCTATCACCACCATGCATCTAGAGGGAAGCGTGTTGGGCAAAGCTATGGAAGTCGAAGAGAAAGAGGATTGGAGGATGTCGATTCGAGAACTTTTGCAAAGAAAAGTACCTACCGGGGATAAGCAGGAAGCCGAAAGGGCCGCTAGATACCTAACTAAGTATTTCGAAATTGAGGGAGTGTTATACAAGAGGTCATATATCGGACCCCATTTAAGATGCATTTCTGTAGACGAGGGAAATTATGTCTTGCGGGAAATTCATGAAGGATGCTGCGGGGCTCACATCGGATCTCGGGCTTTAGCAGGAAAGGTGCTGCGCGCCGGCTATTATTGGCCAAAAATCAGGAGAATGGCCGAGCAGTTAGTACAAGAGTGCGAAAGATGCCAGCGTCACGGCCCGATCCCTCATATCCCCGCTGAAACTATGACGACAATCAGCTGCCCGATCCCTTTTTCTCAATGGGGAATCGACTTGGTGGGACCTTTGCCGATGGGGACCGGGCAAAGAAAATTCCTGGTAGTCGCAGTCGACTACTTCAGCAAATGGGTCGAAGCAGAACCGCTGGCAAAAATTACTGAGGAGAGAATGATCCAGTTCCTATTCAACAACATCTGCTGTCGATTCGGGATCCCGAAGATATTAATTTCAGATAATGGAACTCAGTTTCAGGGCAAGCGAATCCAAGCATGGTGCCTTGAAATGGGAATCAAGCAGAGGTTTGCTTCAGTCGCTCACCCCCAAGCCAACGGGCAAGTCAAGGTTACAAATAGAACCATCCTGCAGGGGCTAAAGAAGCGATTAGAGAAGGCATCGAGAGCCGGGATCGATGAGCTAACCACCGTTTTATGGTCATACCGGACTACGCCAAGAAGCTCGACAGGCCAATCACCACTCAGTATGGTGTATGGAATGGATGCCCTCCTGCCAGTAGAAATCTCACTAAGTTCGCACAGGTCGACATTTTTTGAATAGGAAAAGAACGAGGAACTGGCCAAAGAAGCCCTCGATCTGATTGAAGAAGGACTAGAAGAGTCATGGCTGCGAACAGTTGAATACAAGCAAAAGATGTGCACAACATTCGACAAGAAAGTCCGAACCAGACAATTCCAAGTAGGGGATCTCGTCCTCAAGCGTGCAGACGCCCTCAAACATGTCGGGAAGCTAGAGGCCAACTGGGAAGGGCCTTACATAGTCAAAAGAGTTCTCGAGAGAGGAGCATACGAGCTAGAGGACGGTGAAGGTCGCCAATTGCCTCGATCTTGGCATGTGATCCATCTTAAACGCTTTTACGCCTAAGGGCTGAGTCTCAAGCCTCTTTTTGTACTGAAAAACGTTCGAATTAAATTCAGTAATGAAATGAATGTTATGTTTGATGATTGGATTGTCTTTTTTACATTTTACAACGATTATCCGCATACTTAAATTTTCTTAAAGAAAAACAACAGGTTGGGAAGACAACTACAAAGTCGATTTAAAACAACTTCAAAGTTGTATGCCTCGAG